TAATAAGTTCCTTTATCTCCTTAAGCAGAGGGCTCACAGGCAGACAATCCAATCTGCTACGGGGGTTCAATGAAGCAAAGCACAGAGCTCACACATGTGCGAACACGTACAGTACAATCCTACAGCTTGGGTTAAGGAAACCTACCCAAAGCTAAAAGGGAAAGGGTGTCTGTGCCAGAGGTTTCACTCCGTACCTTAACTGTGTATACGGAATTTACAGCAGTCACACAACAAGAATGCGTTGGATAACGCACACGTCAGCCAATATTAGGAAAGCGCATCGATCTAGTGTGAAAATGTTTTAGGCTTGGTCAAATGCCAGTTAACACAACCGCCCGATCCAGGCCAGGTTTTACAGCGTTGTCGTGCGGACTCCCATCACGCAGCTGTCTGATCCAGTCCAGGTTTTACAGTGTTGTCATGCAGACTCCCATCACACACCTGTCTGATCCAGTCCAGGTTTTACAGTGTTGTCATGCAGACTCCCATCACACAGCTCTCTGATCCATTCCAGGTTTTGAATTAACTGTGTCTTGTGTGTAACATACTAGGAAAATACATACAACTAACTTGCAACTGGTCACTTCAGTTTTAACATAACCATGCTGAAAGATTTGCAACGTTAAAGTCACATAATATAAGGTTTCCTGTTTCATTCTATTTCTGTTTATGCAAGAGCTCCGCAGCTGAAATCACAGGCTTGGATCAATCTTCCTAATCGTGGGTATCCGATTGTTTTTTCGGAGGACATAATGTGCTCCAGGGATTCTCTCCCTGTTTACATATCACTTCCCCAAGAGGATTTCTGTTTCACCCAGGAAGACAGGGGCTGCAGAGCTTGTTCAGGAATCTGGCCCTCCAAAGGCTAAGGAATGGGCCAGCGACCAACTGCAAGCAGGCCGATCGCTTTGCTCTCGACACATGGACTGCTCTAAGCTCTGTAGCTGAGGATCTGCACCTGTGGCTGGGAGGTTGCCGGTTCGAATCCCACAGCCGGCAGAGGAATCCTACTCCGCTGGGCCCCTGAGCGAGGCCCTTCACCCCAGCTGCTCCAGGGGCGCTGTACAATGGCTGACCCTGCGCTCTGACCCCCAGCTTCTCTCTCCCTGTCTGTGTGTCTGTGTCTCATGGAGAGCAAGCTGGGGTCTGCGAAAAGATGAATTCCTAATGCAAGAAATTGTATAGGGCCAATAAAGCAACATTATCATCATTATTATTATTAAGAAGGCCTCGTGCTGAGCACTGGAGTATGGGGCGCCTGTCTGTGGGGGGCTGGCAGGGCTCCCCGCGAGAGTTCTGAGGTGCCCTCCCCTCACCTCTGGACTCTCCGATGAGACGATAGATTCGGGGGGGGTGCGAGTGAGTTAGCGGCGTCCCTCCTATATTCACTAACCCCCCCTGGCTGGGATGGGGGGGGGGATTCCTTGAGCTGGAAAGTGGATCGGGGCAGAAGTAAGAGCACGCTTAAGAAAAACAAGACCCTGGGCTGAGTGCACGCACAAACATCCTTGCTACCGACCCGAGCCGTGCTTAGCAGGCAGTGTGATTGTGCGTTTAACCTTTCCTGTGAGTCTTTGGCTCCCCCCTGAAGGCTCTCCTGCGCAAGGACAGCCTGAGACCAGCCTCCCTCTGGGGGGGGGCGCAGGGGGGCTCTGACAGAGGAGAGGTGTGAAACCTGAGGAGCCGCACCGGAGGGAGGGAGGGAGGGGCAGGCCGAGGGGAGCGCCCGGGTGTGGGAGGAAGGACTCACCTGCACTATAAAGAGCGCTGGATCAGCCCGTCAGCTCCCAGAGCACACCGGCCACCTTCGTGCATCCCCGAGATCGACCAGCGCCGCCGCCGCCCCCAGACCGCCGCACACAGGTAAGACCGGCCGCCCCTCTCCCACACTTCCCAGTCCTGACGAGCTGTCATGGTCTCTACTTCGCCCCGGGCCTGAAGAATTTCATACTGATGGAACCGGGGTGTTATTTTGGGGGGTGGGGGTGGGGGGGCACGTTAATAGCATTATAAGACGGGAAGTGACCCCCAGATGTGTGCGTTTGCCCCATTCAGGACGCCATGTCTGCCGCTCGAACCCAGAGCCCCTTCCTCCTGCCCCTCCTGCTGCTGCTGCTGCTGACCCAGCTGCTCCTCCTGCCCCCCGCCACCTGGAGCTACGAGGCGCTGGGGCCCGGCTGCCACCTGTACCGTAAGTACCCCGGCACGCCGGCAGGGACCCCACCACCGCCCCAACACTGCAAGCTGGAGAACGCGGGCTCTGCACCTTCTCCGCTGTGCAGCGGGAGTCACGCTAAACAGGAACTTTCCACTGCGGCGCGAGTTCTTAGTGTGTCCTCTCCCTCTCTCTCCCCCCAGCCTTCAACGTGACGATCAGGAGCGACCGGCGGGGCACGTGTCGGGGGACACACGTGGTGCACGCGTGTGTGGGCTACTGCGAGTCCAGCGCCTTCCCCTCGCGCTACTCCGTCCTGCTGGCCAGCAACTTCACCCACAACATCACCTCCGCCTCCCAGTGCTGCACCATCAGCAGGGACTCCCGGGTACGAGCACCGGCACCGGC